CTTACATCACCTAGTAGTCCCAAGCGGTCACCCATCTAGTTATTGACCAGACTGGATGTTGCCTAACTTCCTTGATCTTACGGGAACTGGTGTTTCAACATGATATGACCGTAAGCTTGGATCTAGTAAGAGAACTGTAACAATTATAGAATATGCAAGGGGCAATCCTGATAACTGTTTTTGAACTACCAAGAACGGTCTTAGGGTATCAATAAGAATTAATCTGAGGAAGAATATGTAGCGTCCTGGAGAGACTTACTGAAGATCCCCTCCTTTGACATTCGTTAGGATTTCTCGAAAGAGAACTGAAACAATTATAGAATATGCAATATATTGAATATGCGAAATTTCCCAAGACACCTCGGCCCTTCGCTATTTTGCGTAGGGCCGAGAGGTCTTAGGCAATTTTTCCACGTTATTGCCCTCAAACCCACTCTAAACCTATTTGGTAGCGACGCGGGAGAGCTGAAACGTACCTAAAGAGACTTACTCTCACTCTGTATTGAGTGATAACTACATGGCAATTGGTGTAAACAAGCAAATGCAAGAAAACATAATAGTAATGATGATCCTTCTTAAAGAAGACAAGATTTCAGAAGAGTTGAAGAGAAAAAAATCGATGACCCTGCATAAAGCCTTAGATTTCAGAGATGTCGCCGTAGAGGATTAATAATTTTGTTTACGATTCTCAGGTTGAGCCCAGAAAACGCGTCAGCGTATAGAAAGATTAATACCGACCAGCAAACATTGCAATAAAAACACAATGAAATATTGACGCAGACCCGCAACACCATCGCCATCTACAATATGCAAATACACTTTAGAGTAAAAAACAGAATGAAGACAGTTCTGGTAAATTATGATTGTTTTTTTATTACCATTTTTTATTTTTTATCATTTTTTCAAATTATAATCATTTTTTTTCACCATTTTTAAAAAATTATTACTATTTTTCTTTTTTTACCATATTTTTTTAATTATTATCATTTTTTGACCATTTTTTAAAATTATTACATTTTTTATTATGATTTTTTTAAATTATTACCATTTTTTAACCATTTTTATAACTATTATCATTTTTCTTTTTTTACTATTTTTTTAAATTATTACCATTTTTTAATTAATACAATTTTTTACATTTTTTAAAATTATTACCATTTTTTTTTAAATTATTACCATTTTTTAAAATTATTACCATTTTTTATTGCCATTTTTTAAAAATTATTACTATTTTTTTACCAATTTTTTAAAATTATTACCATTTTTTTAAACTATTACCAATTTTTTTATTACCATTTTTTTAAAATTATTATCATTTTTTTTACCGTTTTTTAAAAATTATTACCATTTTTTAAAACTATTACCAATTTTTTTATTACCATTTTTTTTAAATTATTACCATTTTTTATTACAATGTTTTTTAAATTATTATATTTTTTTATTACTATTTATTACCAGTGACAGAAAAACGACCGAATTGTTCTGGTTGCCATGTTTTTGTTAATATATTTTAATTTTTCTTGTTCTTAGTATTTTCCTTTATAAAAACGTAACATTATACGCCAGAAATGTTGGACTATCATCTTCAAAGAATCTCCAAAAAAATGAAATTTGTCTGCTTTTCTCAAGCTTAAGTTACTAGCTCACTTTGAACCAGAGGGACTTTCTTTTCCTGATCGGGTTTGTCAAATATCCAATAATAATAATGATTATAATAATGAAAATGAATATACCCACAGGCATAACAAGGTCGCGACTCATGTGCACTTGAAGATATGGAAGAAGCACAAAATCGAAACCACTGAGAGATGGTATGACCACCACAAGAAAGTATTGGGCACCCAGTGAGGATCGAACTCACTACTCAGTCGTTATTGTTCTAGAGAGACAAGCTTGCTAAACATTACACCGTCTCGAGTTGCCTAAAATGATTTTCCAAGTGGAGCTTAGATGTGGCACAAGTCCGAAAGTATTTGGCACCCAGTGAGGATCGAAGTCACTACTCAGTCGTTATTGTTCTAGCGAGACAAGCTTTCTAACTATTACAGCGCCTCAAGGTCCCCATAAAAGGTTTTTCTAAGTGTAGCTTAGATGTGGCACAAGGCCGAAAGCGTAGAGAACTTGGTTTCTTTTCAGTTGTAATTGATCTAACAAGACAAGCCTGCGAATCTACACCGAAGTGCCAAAGACACAACAATATATAGAGGTTAATACTGACATGCAGATACTGCAATAAGTGTAACGGAAACAATGTCAGAGTAAAAATGACATATAAACTAAATATTAGGTTGGTGCAAAAATAATGACATAATAATGTCGTTTTTTGATGTATTTTTTAACGTCAAAAACGACATTATTACGTCATTATTTTGCACCAACCTAATAAAAGAACTAGAAAATTAAAAACGAAAAAGGTTACTTGATTAAGGAACGCAGACCCGCTGTAATATTATGTTGGTGCAAAAATAATGACGTAAGAATGTCGTTTTTTGACGTAGAAAAGTACGTCAAAAAACGACATTATTACGTCATTATTTTTGCATAACTTAATAAATTACCCAGAACAAGAATGAAAAAACTATCTGAAAAGTAATAACTCTGAACATTATGAAAACATCCCTGAAGGAAATGTTTTAAAAAATGGTATTTAAAATATGATGAAAATATTACCAGAACATCTGAATTATTTCTAAGGGGTGCATGGGATGTATTCTCAGTGATTGGGGCCCCTCGGCGTGGTGTAATGGTTAACAAACTTGTCACGCTAGATCAGTTACTACTGAAAAGTGAGTTCGATCCTCACTGGATGCCCCATACTTTCGGCCTTGTGCTACATCTAAGCTACGCTTGGAAAATCTCTACTCAGCTGAATTGGTATGCGGAAATGTACTGGTCCACAGTCGAGATCCAACTTTCACACAAGGCCCCAAGAAGTCACATGGGCACTGCGACAGCCACATCCTGGCCAACGGCATCGACCTGCTAAACTATGTGAGGGTAATCGGACTGTTGAAGGGGAACGCCTCTCTTCAAACGACCTGGGCGTAGAGGCTGCACCGCAGATATCAGCTTTACCAGTGGCAGAGGATCTTCTAAGAGGAGTAGCCTCAATAAACTCGTTGAAAAAGAAACTGGCAAGCCATTGCCATATTTTGTCTTAAATGTCAAAATGGACCAGGGGGAGTGGTGTCCATAGCGGCACAAATCCACTAACTGAATAAATGATAATAATGATGATGATTGTCTTCGTTAGTGAGACGGAGCTGTTTACATTTCGTAAAGACGGGATTGACTCCAGCCAGTTCGAAGGTATCGCTCCGTCAAGGATTTCCGCAATTACGGTGTGCCGAAAGATCTGCGGAGAGGCAGATTGGGGGAATGGATGTCGAAGATCTTTATCGAAACATCGTCTAACGGGTCCGGTCCGGCGCGGTTACATGCTAGAGCTGACCAAGTGTGTTGTCTGCATTTCATATAATGAAATCTGAGTAGCCCTAAGTAATAAGTGTAAAACAGGATTTGTCGCAATATAATTCTTTTAATTTATGCGCCATGTCCTCTAAGGACGTAGGCGATCATGGCTCTCCACGTCTCTTTATCCTTTCCAGCTCTAAACAAGTTCCTTCCCTCTGCTTCCTCCCCCAGACCACGTTCTGTTATCCACCTGCTCAAGCTCGCCAGGTATGTCGCGCGCTGTTTTCCCTTGTCTCTCTTTCCCTCTATTCGACCCGTGAGTATCAGATTCTCCAGGCCCTCCTTCCTCATTTTGTGTCCGAGGAATTTCAGCTGCGTCTTCCTGTTATTATGTATAAGCCTCCTCCTTGTTTTCAGCTTCATCGTTGCTCACACGCTCTGTCCAGGATATCCTTAGCATCCTTCTGTAGAACCACATCGCTGTCACCTCGAGTGTCTACTTCATCTTTGAGGAAATCATCCAATATTTGCTGCCGTTAAGAATGACAGATGTCACGTAACAGCTCAGTATTCTTTTCTTTGTTACCAAAGAAACATTCCTGTCTCGCAATACTCAGCTTTTGGAAAGTGACCTTGGCCATCCCAATACGTCTACGGATCTCAGTGTCGCACAAATCCGTGAAACTGGAAATAAGTGATTGGGAGGATAAGACTTTACAGATAATCGCACTTACAATTTATTAGCTCAAAGGTGTCAAGAAAACGCAGTGGAGACAGATTCAAGGGAGATTTCATAAGGGAAGAAGGGATTCAGGACTTTGTTGTCGGTAATACTGTTACCCCCAACTGTAAGTTAACAGATATTGGCATTCACACTGGCTCTAGCAACGATATCAACAATTAACCTTTTCATCATGTCCTTCACCCAGCATCGTTTTTATAGAGAAAGCAGTTTTCTTTAGGATTCTTTGATACCGTACCTATGAACACTAATGGGTATGTACCAATCCTCATAAATACGCTGGACACTATTGTAAGTGGTGGTAATATGCTGTATAAGTAGTCCACCACTTGCGGTGGTTTCCATACTTCACGCCGCTGGCGAGTATTGTATTTTGTTGATGTTATTAAGATTACCATTTCATTTCCAACCACTGTTTTAGTTATTCCTCATTCAGTAACACTTTCTATGTTACAACGATATATAAGGCAAATAAAATAAAAACGATATATATTTTTGTCGATGAATTTAACGATGCTCTTTTCAGAATTCATCTATCACAGTCTACGCATATCTATCTATCTATCTATCTATCTATCTATTTATCTATCTAAACTGTTACATTGAAAGATGCAAGTTACCATGAAAAAAATGTAAGTTTCGACGTCGAAAAACGTCTCGTCAGAGGGTTAATGATGATTGTAATTACCAACATTGTTAACCATTTCTTCGAACTCAAGAAAAATTAAATAAAAAGCTTAAATCATTACCTCGTGTGGGGTCTTTAATCAAACATGCATAAATGAAGGGTTGCTGCCTAAATACAAAAATATATATATATATATATATATATATATATATATATATATATATATATATATATATATATATATATAGATAGATATATGATTATGTCAATTTGTACGTATAGTTAGCTGCCTGTCACAATCAATTTATATCTATTTATCTTTTTGTGTCT